CTGTGCATTTTGTGGGCGAAACGTAATAATTATCCATGCGTTTGGTATAGTGACTTACCACATAGTCACGACGTCTCGAAGCGCTTCACAGGACATACTCTAAAGCGTATACTTTGACTGTATACTTTGTGAGCGAAGTGCGGCAGCCGATTGTGCACAGCAGCAGCGTCCCGACAAACAGTCATGGATTGAAGTAAACAAATTACTATTATTATTATTGTACGGATTATTACACCCGGAAAAGCGACGCACAACTGGGTGAAGTGAGAGAGAGGGAGTGAGAGGGAGAAAGAGAGTCAGAGCGAGGGAGTGAGAGCGTGAGAGGGAGTGAGAGAGAGAGGGAGTGAGAGAGAGTGAGAGAGGGAAAGAGAGTCGGAGAGATGGAGGAGGAGAGCGAGCGGTTAGGGAGCGAGAGAGGGAGTGAGAGAGGGAGTGAGAGTCGGAGAGATGGAGGAGAGCGAGCGCTCAGGGAGCGAGGAAGCGAGAGCGAGAGAGAGAGAAAGGGAGTGAGAGAGGGAACGAGAGTGGGTGAGAGACCGAAAGAGTGTCGGAGAGATGGAGAAGGAGAGTGAGTGGTCAGGGAGCGAGGGAGCGAGAGAGAGGGAGAGGGAGTGAGAAAGAGAGAGCGAGAAAGAGCAAGAGAGAGGGAGAGGGAGGGGGAAGAGAGTCGGAGAGATGGAGACGGAGAGCGAGCGGTCAGGGAGCGAGAGAGAGAGGGAGTGAGAGAGGGAGTGAGAGAGAGGGTGAGAGAGGGAGTGAGAGAGGGAGTGAGAGAGGGAGTGAGAGGAGAGGGAGTGAGAGAGAGGGAGTGAGAGAGGGAGTGAGAGAGGAGTGAGAGAGGGAGTGAGAGAGGGAGTGAGAGAGGGAGTGAGAGAGGGAGTGAGAGAGGAGTGAGAGAGAGAGAGGGAGGGAGTGAGAGAGAGAGGGAGTGAGAGAGGGAGTGAGAGTCGGAGAGAGGAGGAGGAGAGCGAGCGCTCAGGGAGCGAGGGAGCGAGAGAGAGGGAGAGGGAGTGAGAGAGAGGGAGAGAGGGGAGTGAGAGAGGGAGTGAGAGAGAGGGAGTGAGAGAGGGAGTGAGAGAGAGGGAGCGAGAGAGGGAGTGAGAGGGGAGTGAGAGAGAGGGAGTGAGAGAGGGAGTGAGAGAGGGAGTGAGAGAGGGAGTGAGAGAGAGGGAGTGAGAGAGAGGGAGTGAGAGAGGGAGTGAGAGTCGGAGAGATGGAGGAGGAGAGCGAGGTCAGGGAGCGAGGAGCGAGAGAGGGAGTGAGAGAGAGGGAGTGAGAGAGAGGGAGTGAGAGAGAGGGAGTGAGAGAGGGAGTGAGAGAGAGGGAGTGAGAGGGAGGGAGAGAGGGAGTGAGAGAGCGAGAGGGGCGGAGAGAGGGAGTGAGAGAGAGGGAGAGAGAGAGGGAGCGAGAGAGGGAGTGAGAGAGGGAGTGAGAGAGAGGGAGTGAGAGAGGGAGTGAGAGAGGGAGTGAGAGTCGGAGAGATGGAGGAGGAGAGCGAGCGCTCAGGGCGGAGGGGAAGGAGATGATGATAAACGGTAACGTGTTGATTTCCGGGAAGTTTTGGGGGAAATGACGGATTCCTTCCCGTCCGCCGGAAGCGGTCAATGCCCCCCCCCCCCCCCCCCCCCCCCCCCCCCGCTCTGGCTGCTGATTGGCCGCCCGGAGCCGCTGTCAATCAATGTGCAGTGGTGACTCCGCCCCTCTCCGGCCCCGCCCTCCTCTCGGTGCCGTTCCTCCCGCCCCCTTCGCTGATTGACAGCCGTCGGATGGAAACCGGTTCAAGGCCCAAACCAACCGGGACCCGGCGCCTGTTGTCCGAATTAACCGGTGTCCAACGTTACCCGAGTACCGCGGCCGCCATTGTGTGCGGTTATATGCTGCGGTGACGCTGTGTCACCAACGGGTGGCGCTGCCCCGCGCGCTGTGTGGTTATATGCTGCGGTGACGCTGTGGCACCAACAGGTGGCGCTGCAGCCGCTCCGCACTGTCAGTGAGACACCGCCACCATCACAGAGATAGGGCGCTTTCACCGCGCAGTGCATTGTGGCTCCTGAGCACCGCCATTGCTCCCGTTGCTTCTGGTCAGTGTCAGCAACACTGTGTCTGTGAGTGTAATGTGAGTGTGTAATGTGAGTGTGTGAGTGTGACTGTGTGTAATGTGAGTGTGTAATGTGAGTGTATGAGTGTGTAATGTGAGTGTGTGTAATGTGAGTGTGTGTAATGTGAGTGTATGAGTGTGTAATATGAGTGTGTAATGTGAGTGTGTGTAATGTGAGTGTGTGAGTGTGTAATGTGAGTGTGTGTAATGTGAGTGTGTGAGTGTGTAATGTGAGTGTGTGTAATGTGAGTGTGTGAGTGTGTAATGTGAGTGTGTGTAATGTGAGTGTGTAATGTGAATGTGTGTAATGTGAGTGTGTAATGTGAGTGTGTCTGTGTGAGTGTGTGTAATGTGAGTGTGTAATGTGAATGTGTGTAATGTGAGTATGTGTAATGTGAGTGTATGAGTGTGTAATGTGCGTGTGTGTAATGTGAGTGTGTGAGTGTGTAATGTGAGTGTGTGTAATGTGAATGTGTGTAATGTGAATGTGTGTAATGTGAGTGTGTCTGTGTGAGTGTGTGTGTCTGATGTGTGTGTAATGTGAGTGTGTGTAATGTGAGTGTGTAATGTGAATGTGTGTAATGTGAGTATGTGTAATGTGAGTGTATGAGTGTGTAATGTGCGTGTGTAATGTGAATGTGTGTAATGTGAATGTGTGTAATGTGAGTGTGTCTGTGTGAGTGTGTGTGTCTGAGTGTGTGTGTAATGTGAGTGTGTGTAATGTCTGTGAGTGTAATGTGAGTGTGAGTAGTGTGAGTGTGTGAGTGTGTAATGTGAGTGTGTCTGTGTGAGTGTGTGTCTGAGTGTGTGTGTAATGTGAGTGTGTGTAATGTGAGTGTGTGTGTGTCTGAGTAAGTGTGACTGCGTATATCTGTGTGTGAGTGTGTCTATGTTTGTGTGTATCTGTGTCTGTGAGTGTGTGTTTCTATGTGTGAGTGTGTGTCTGTATCTGTGTGTCTGTATATGTGTGTGTGTATCTGTGTGTGTTTCTGTGTGTGTGTGTGACTGTATCTGTGTGTGTGTATATCTGTGTGTGTGTGTGTGTGTCTGTGACTCTGTGTGTGTATCTGTATCTGTGTGTGTGTGTGTCTGTATCTGTGTGTGTGTGTGTGTATCTGTGTGTGTGTGTCTGTATCTGTGTGTGTGTGTGTGTATCTCTGTGTGTGTGTCTGTATCTGTGTGTGTGTGTGTATCTCTGTGTGTGTGTGTGTATCTGTGTGTGTGTATCTCTGTGTGTGTCTGTATCTCTGTGTGTGTGTGTCTGTATCTGTGTGTGTGTGTCTGTATCTGTGTGTGTGTGTCTGTATCTCTGTGTGTGTGTGTATCTGTGTGTGTGTGTGTGTGTATCTCTGTGTGTGTGTGTGTGTCTGTATCTGTGTGTGTGTCTGTATCTCTGTGTGTGTGTGTGTGTGTGTATCTGTGTGTGTGTGTGTCTGTATCTGTGTGTGTGTGTCTGTATCTGTGTGTCTGTATCTCTGTGTGTGTGTGTGTGTCTATCTCTGTGTGTGTGTGTGTCTGTATCTCTGTGTGTGTCTGTATCTGTGTGTGTGAGTGTGTCTATCTGTGTGTGTGTCTGTATCTCTGTGTGTCTGTGTGTTGGGGGTTGTGACCCTGAGAGACAGGAGGTGGTGACCCTCCGGACGCCACAGTCAGGACACTGTTGAGGTTGTTGACCGAAGCTGTTTTCAGGCCTTCAAATGGAGTTTGAGATGGAAACCGCCATTCAGCCCTTCGCGCTGCGCGGTGTCGTTCCCGCAGTTTATGTTAAAGAAAGCATTAATGATCGTTTTTACAACAATCTAATCTGTGATATTTCTTCACGTTTAGTTGTTAATCAATGAAGTGAAAAATTGTAGTTTAGCGGTAAAATGTACCTCTCAACAGCATCGATCAACTCCTCACACTTTTATGCAAAACGCGTTTAATTATAAGCCACAATTTTTGGCAAATATTTCCACAATTTTCTATTGGCCCTGACCATCACCGTGATTGAGAGTATACGAACCAAGCTGAGAATTTCCCGCATCCCATAGAAACCCCAGAGACACTGCTGTGCGCAATTGGCTGCCGCGTTTCACCCACAAATATACAGTCAATTCACTTTACAGTCTAATCTGTGAAGCGCTTTGAGACGTCGAGAAGACGTGAGAAGCGCTATATCAAATGGAAGGATTATTAGACAGACTGTTGGAATGCAGACTCTCTCCCTGGAGGGACACCTCCTCCCGCTTACCTCATTTGGGAAAGTATTAGAGTGCGCATTGAGGTCTCATCCTAAGTGAAGGGTGAAGTGGGGAGGTGAGCGTAAGCGCGATCGAAGAGGAATGCCTTTAGGTAGGATTTGAAATTGAGGGAGAGGGTACGCAGAGGGATTGGGAGGGGGAGAGAGTGCGAGAGGTTCGGGCCATACTGGAGAAAGAAAGTAGATTTGGGTGTCATCCACAAACATGTGGAAGTCGACCCCATATCTGAGAGGGAGAGTGTAAGTGATAAAAGAAGGGGCCAATGATGGAGTCTTGGAGTACCCGACAGGTGAGGAGAACCTGTTTCCCCAGAGAGATTCTTGGCAGTTAGTCAAGTAGGACTGGAACCATGCGAGTGCGATCCCACTACGATGGATGAGGGAGGAGAGGCGGTGGAGTAAGATGATGAGATCGACTGTGTTGAATGCGGTGGAGAGGTCAAGGAAGCAGATAAAGAAAGCCTTGTTCACAGAGAGAGGACGTCATAATAATAATAATAATCCGTGCATTTGCTGTAGCGCTTTTCACATCTTCTCGACGTCTCAAAGCGCTTCACAGAATGGTCTGTAAAGTGAATTGACCATATATTTGTGGGCGAAATGCGGCAGCCAATTGTGCACAGCAATGTCCCACAAACAGTTGTGGATTGAAATGACCAATTTATTATTTTTTTTCTTGAGGGAGTATTATCGGGCGTAAGGAAAGGTTATGTGGGAATGTAAAAGGACTAAAACACGTAAAGTACAGAGTGTCTCGACAATGATAAGACGAGTTGTTTTTGAGCAACAGTGTAGATAATTAGAGCAGAACCAGTTTCCTTGTCCTGTAACTGTCTGCAAATGTATAATTAAACTTGTGATGACTGAATGTTGCTTATCAATCAACAACAAGAATTGTTTTGACATGAGGTGATTGCAAATAATCATGTATATAAACTAATGGGACTGCCCCATTGGTAGAGAAAGAGTACCGACTCTTCTGAGAGACGTGCTATTGTATTGCCTCTCGCTTTCCCTCTCCTCGCTGCAAGATTAAATCGCAGCCAAAACATATAACGTGTAACAATAAACCTTTTGTACATGGTGGATGTAATCGTGACTGTGGTAAAAAACCACCGGTGGTGGGCAAAGCCACTGTTGTCCTTTGGTGGTATTACTTATGTATAAGAAGCTCCAGTGGCTCAGTTTATCTCGGAAATTTGAATGCCAAGTCATGCAAGAATGTTTATGACTATGGACACTCTGCATACAGTACTCAAAATTCACATTTCATGTCATACTCCAAAAGCGTATTTGCTACTTTGCCAAGCGCTGTCTCTGTGCTGTGGGCAAGGCGGAGACTGGACTGGAGCGGTTTGACTGGGGAGCGGAGGGAGAGGTGTGAGCAGACACACACTGCAAAGCTTTGGGCAGGAAGAGCTCGTTTGAGATTGGACTAAAGTTTGTGAGGTTGTGAGGTTGGAAGGATCGAGGGTCGTCTTTTTAAGGAGAGACTGATGAGAGTTGTGTTGAGGGGGAGTGGGATAGAGTCTGAAGGAGAGACTGGTTGATTGTATCAGCCATCTGTAGGCAGAGGAAGGGAGTTGGTGACCTGAAGCTTGGTGGGGAGGGGGTCGAGGAAGCAGGTGGTGGGCTTCATAGGTTTCACAATATCAGTTTCACATTAACATCTTACAATCTCCAGTAGATGTCGCTCCAGTTGTTTATGGGTTGTGTCTGAGCCACAGACCCACAATCTGGAGCTGTTGGTGACTCCATCCTCCTCCTGAATGAGAAACAGAAACAATACGATTAATACCGGTCCCCACTGCAGTGTTACTGACTCTGTGCTCACCGACACGTCTCACACATCGCAGATTCCTGTGCGTCACTGAAACAGACAAAGGCGGTGGATGTGAACCTTCTGGTGGGGCTGAGTGTTTATCCCCTGTGAGATGAGGACGGGCCGATGAACGCACTTCGCCGAGGATTGAGGGACAAGAGGGGACCTGCAGTTGCCATGGGTTGGGGCTGCTCGGAGGACTGACTATCGACTCCTGTGGGCTCAGGGCTTTCCGCTCCCCTCTCCCCTTAAAGAGGTGTCTGTACATAGATTTGGGAGGAGCTGAGCCCCCTCTAGCCCTGGCCACCCAACCCCTATGGAAACATACTTCTTGCTTTCAGGAGCTGAGGAGTGAATCTCAAACTTATCGCCATGGTCACCTCCCCTCCCACAGCCCAAGTTTGGTGATTGACTCTCTCTGTAAAGTGCTCTGAGATGTTATTCTCTACAAAAGTGTTGTATCAATGTAAGTTCTGAATAATAATAATAATTGTTGATTGTGATTTGTGGGAGAACACGACAACACATTGCGCCCAGCAACGTCCCACACACCGTGAAGTGAACAATCAATATTATCTGTGGATTATTGGCCAGGACACTACGAGAATTCCCTTCTTTTCAAATAGCACCGCAAGATTTTAACATCCACCTGAACGGGTGTAAATGTCTGATGGTCGGCAACTCCATCAATACAGCACATCGCCTGCCCTGCAATGGAGTGTCAGCCAAGACCAGGGCTCTCCATCCGGTCGATCACACAGGGTGGGCACTCCCACAGGGGATCGAACTCTTTCATTATTTTGGCTAATTGAAAACAAACCAGATGCAACAAGTATTTCATGAATCTCAAAATAGAATACAAACTAAATTATACAAAGCGAGGTAAAAAGTAGTAAACTGTGAGGAGATTAGTAGCAGACTGCAAGAGGACATAGACAGACTGGTGAAATGGGCAGACACGTGGCAGATGAAAGAAAAATGTGAAGTGATACATTTTGGGAGGAAGATTGAGGAGAAGCAATATAAGCGAGATGATACAATCTTAAATGGGTGCAGGAACATAGAGACCTGGGGGTGCACAGAAGCAAACTGTTGAAGATGGCAGACAGGTAAAGCTGTTAAAGCATGGTACCATGAATGAGGGAATTCAGAGGCTAGAGATGCTAGGATTATTCTCCTTGGGGCAGAGACGATTAAGGAGAGATGTAAGGATAGAGGTTTTGAAAGAGGATTCGATGGGGTGAACAGGGAGAAACTGTTTCCACTGGTGGGTGGGTCAGTAACCCGAGGACACAGATTTATAATAGTTGCCAAAAGAACCAGAGGGGAGTTGAGAAGAAATTTTTTCATTATTCAATATTTGGGGACAACAAATGTGCAAACGTGAAGTGGGATTAATTTGGACAGCTCTTTCAAAGAGCCGGCACGGACACCATAGGCCGAATGGCCTCCTTCTGGGCTGTATAATTCTATGATTCTATGATAACGTTTTTTCCTGTTTATGAGTGTCCCCTAATCTCCATCTCCGTGCATATCCTCCCAATGTGAAAGGTGCTTTACAGGCTGACCTCGGTATAACGAACGCTCTGGGGACTTGGGAATGGAGCATTATATCTCGGTGTTGCTATAAACATTTAATAGTGAAATGGCAGAATGTTACACATGGTGAGCAGTCACCACCTGAAGGGGAAGAGGAGCTGGTGAATGGGGGGAAGGAGAGCTGACTGTCCGAGTGGCCATCCCGTGCTCTCACTCTCTGGTGCTTGGATCTCCCTCCAGCCCAACTCCATGTTTGTATTGATATGTTGATTGGCTGCTGAGCTCCATGAGATTGGCTGTTGAGCACCAATGCCATATTGACTTGACTGCAGATAGTTATATCAGGGGCTGAGCTGATACAGTGATCATTGTATTGGGGTGAGAATCAATAGGGAAAAACGGGTCTCAGTGTTGAATGAGCTTTAACCTGGAGGGATCGTAATAAGAAGGTGTCGTTATACAGAGGTGAGGCATCAGCTTGGCCTGTCTCAATTGTATGCTATAAAATATACAGCCTTACATATTTTCCTGGCAAATATTAATCAATATAATATTGCATTCAATAAAGCATCTTTCACAGCTTCAAAGCGTCTCTTCGTGCTTCACAGGAATTTTACTGTGAAGTATATTAATGTTACTGTATTTTGTTGGCTGATATGACGGTCAATTTGGGTACAACAATGTCCACCAAACAGCCGTGAAGTGAATCAGCAATTGTTATCTGGAGGATTGCGGTCAGGACAGTACAGTACAGTACAGGCTGCCTACCTGCCGCGTCTCCAGACACCCACACATCACAGGCAGAAACGTGGCTTTTCTCCTGGTTTTCCAGCAACGTGCGAAGCTGTCCTTACCCCAGTGCTGAGAGTCGTCTCAATGTCTTATTGTGTTTGATACCAACAACAAGTGACACAGACAGCAACAACAGCAGAACAACAAGAATAACCCAGTGATACCTTCCACCTGAAACAGATTGGAAATGTAGTTAAATAAGAACAATAAAACAATAATTCTTGGATTTGATACAGCGACTTTCAGACAGAGGACGTCTCAAAGCTGGTAAAGCCCAAAGTATGTAAAACTCTCTTCTCTTTTGCAACAGTGCCACCGGATGTTTCAAGTCCTCCTGAACAGGCACAGATGGAACCTTAATTTCACCTTCAAACAACATGACACCCCCTCCAGCACTACATTGCAATGTCATCGGAGACAGGAGTTCCAAACTCTGATTCACAGCCACTGACCCAGAGGTAAGAGTGTGACTGTTGGAGTCAGGATGAAGCACAATTATCCTCCAATTAGCCTCCAACCCTCCTGCCCCCTCACCAACCTTTTAGCTAAAATCAAGTGTACATTCTCCCTCGTGTATTGGATTTCCTGTTAAATGCCCTGATGTCAGGTTGTGTCAGTGTAGGATTGTTCTCTCTCTCTCTCACCTGCTGAGCCGCTGTCAGGGCACAGATCTGTAGTGACTGGCTCGCTGGCTGTCTGGCTGACCGGGTTGTGAGCCACACACGTGTAGCTGTCTCGCTCCCGCCCCGTGACGTTGCTCAGATGTAATGTAGTCCCATTGTAGACGACTGTATTACCAGCAAAGCCCAAAACTTTCTCCCAGTGAAGCAGTGGGTTTGTACCGTTGGGAGCAGAGCAGGTCAGAGTGGCAGCTGGCACAGAGCAGTTAGTGGTTACCTTCACCACGGGCTGGGCCACGGGCTCTGAAACACACAATGTCACATCAATGTCAATATCACACAGTAAATGTCACTCTTTACACAACATTGTTTGCTCAGTTGGGTGTCCGGCTCACCCATTCACTATTCAAACCCCTTCAGTCGGGTTTCCGTGCTGCCCATAGCACAGAAACTGCCCTGGTCAAGGTCACCAATGACATCCTGACCATCTGTGACCAGGGCTCCCTCTGCCTCCTCGTCCTCTTCGGCCTATCGGCAGCATTCGATACGGTCGAACACGCTATCATCCTCCACCGCTTGTCCTCCCACCTCAACCTTCAAGACCCTGTCCTTGAGTGGTTTAGGTCGTACCTCTCCCACCATCTTCACTTTGTTTCCACGAATGGCTTTTCCTCCGGCCCCCGCACTGTCTCGTGTGGTGTCCCTCAAAGCTCTGTCCTCCGTCCCCTCCCCTTCACCCTCTATATGCTCCCCCTGTGGTAACATCATCCGTAGACATGGGGTTAACTTCCACATGTCTGCGGATAACACCCAACTCTTCCTGTCCTCCTCTACCCTCAACTCCACGACCCCCGATGTCCTGACAGCTGCCTGTCCGACATCGAGTCCTGGACGAGAGACAACTTTCTTCAGCTCAACGTGCGTAAAACTGAGGCCCTCCTGATTGGCTCGCGTCAGCGCCTCCGCACCTCAGGCACTGACAACATCAGCATCCAAGGCTGCACTCTCCACCTCTTAAAGCAGTCAGGAACCTCGGGGTTCTGTTCGACCCTGAGCTGTCCTTTCTCCCTCATATCCGCACCACAACTGGCACCGCCTTCCATCACCTCCGGAACATCGCCAGACTACGGCACTACCTCACCCCTCACGCTGCTGAAACTCTGGTCAACCCTTTATCACCTCAAGGCTGGACTATGGGAACTCTCTCCTCGCCGGCCTTCCCGGCCCTCCCTCCACACTGCAGGTCATTCAGAACTCTGCAGCTTGTGTATGTCCCGCACCAGACACCGCGACCACATCACTCCCACCCTCGCTCGCCTCCACTGGCTCCCCATCCCCCAGAGGATAGAATTCAAGATCCTCAACCTCACATACAAAGCCATTCATGGCCTCGCTCCCTCCTACCTCTCCAACCTACTATCCCCCTACCTACCTGCCCGTACCCTCCGTTCCTCTGGCTCCGGTTTGCTCCACGTCCCCTGCCCCAACCGCCCTACCATCGGTGGCCGGGCCTTCAGCCTCTCAGCCCATAGGCTCTGGAACTCTATCCCCCAGTGCCGTCGCCGCTTCCTCCCTTTCCTCCTTCAAGGCCGGTCTCAAAACCTTTCTCTTTGACCGAGCCTTCAGCTCCCCTCTCGACTCTCTACCCCCTCCTCGTTCCCTCCCTTCCCTCCCCTCACCCTGACCATTTCCCCCTTGCTCGGGTCCTGACCCAACTGTACAGTGCCTTGGGACGTCCTCCTGACGTGAAAGGCGCTCTATAAATGGAAACTTGTTGTTGTTGTGGAAACCCATCACTGTACTTGTGAAGGTCCAAACCAGATTGGGAGCATCTCTTTAAAGAGACAGTGATATAAAATATTAATGCTACATTTAATGCGGAGCCCAATAACAGTGGATTCCTGTAGCTCAGCGGTTAGAACCCTCTGAGAAGGCAAGTGACAGACCTGGGTTTGATTCCCGGCAGGCGAAATGTTGGGCAAGTTTCCGTACTGCACACACCTTTGTTTACTTAGCAGTAAGTAGGAACCCGGTTGTTTGTTAATTGGTGGATTGCTTTATCGGGGGTTACATTTTTTTTAGATTGGGCACTCAATCAATGACTGTTTGTGGGATACTGCTGTGTGCAATTGGCTGCCGCATTTTGGGCACAAGATATACAATCAATTCACTTTACTGTATATTCTGTGATAAGGTGCTATATCAAAAAGGATTACCATTATTGTTATAATAATCCCTGCATTTTATATATTGCCTTAAAAGACTCTGAGATGCTGCGTTGCGAGCAGAGTGCTACATAAGTGCAAGTTGTTCTTGTATCATATGGAGATGATTCAAAGCACATATTCAAATGTAAATTGCTGCGTTCATCTACTAACACACCGTCTTATCGTGAAATTCTGTTAAGTACAGAATTGAGTGAACTGTGGTTTACTCACAGTTGACTGTGTATTCTGTGGATGAAACCCAGCACAATTACTAATGGTTTTCACCCACAGAATACACAGTTTACTCACAGGAACTGCACACAGTCATTAAGTGAGTGAGGATTTTTATCCAGAGGATTGTTGACCAGGACACCGGGAGGGAAACTCCCTTTTCTTTTCAAATAGGCTCTCAGCAACTCCAACAATGTAACGCTGTTTTAATGATTCTGGAATTCAGTGCCAATGTGGGGTCTTGAACCAACAACCTCCTGACTCAGAAACGAGAGGAAGCCTAACCGAGTCAGGCCAGCACTCACCAAAGACTTTCAGATGAAATGTGAGCTGGTCTCTCTGCCGCAGCACCGCTCCCAGGTAGTTTGTTTGGATGCGATATTCTGCACTGTCTTCCATGTGCACATTTTTAAGTAACAAAGAGCCATTGACTGTGAGCTGAACCCGGTCTCTATAGAGAGGATGGACAATATGTGCATTTCCTATAGAGAAGGGCTGATCAGAATTCCAGCCGAGGATTTTAATTGAGTATGGGCTTTCCCGGCGAGCTGTCACTTCGTATTTCATGTTGTTGTCGTGAATTACAGGGAACTGGACGTCTTGCCCGACGGAGAGATTGGTGACAGTGTCCGGGATGGCCCACACAGCCGGGCTGCCCAGTCTGGCACAGAGCAGGACTGAAAGAGGAGAAACACAGCAAAACATTACAAAGTGCAACACGACTAAGAGGTCCTGAGGTGGGGTTTGTTGGTGAGTCTACAGTGAGTGGACAGAAACATACAGTTGCCAGCAGCGGATCTAAAAGGGGGTCTTTTCACAGAGGATGGTGAAGAGTGTGGAATCCATTAAAACCTATGATTGAAGGTAATAGCATCAACCTGTTTAATTCTAACCGTCAGCCTCCATCCCAATCTCACACCAAGTGCAGCAAACCCCTTATTCACACCTTTGTTAACTCCAACATGATTTCTCAAGCTCTCGTCACTGCTCTCCCCAGTTCCACCATCCACAAGACATACAAAACTCTGCTGCCCGTGTTCTCATCCACACTAAACTTCACCAATGAGACATTAAACCGAACTCCCCAACTGCCTGTTCAAGTGGACGTTAATGATAGGGTGACCAGACATCCTCATGGACAGTCCCTGGATGAGGTGTAGTGCCTCTGGCTAAAATGTGTCCCTGTCGAGTTCAACAACAAACAGAGCAAGAACAACAACATCCTAAACCAGATACACTCCTCAGAGAAACACAGCCATTAATCCAACGAGCTTCTCCAGTAACCGCCAGCATCAGCAATTGTAGGGAATTCAAGTTTTGTTGTATATTGTTCCCAGATTTGGTTTGCAAAACATGGTCACTTTATTCTATCAGGACATCAGTGGTCCTGGAGTTGAGTGTGGAGGTACAGAGATAGAGTTGGGTGTCATCCACATAAATGTGGAAGTTGACCGCATGGCTGTGGATGATGTCACCAAGAGGAAACATGAAGATATTGGAGAGGAGGGGACCAAGGACAGAGCCCTGAGGAACCCCACATGAGACTGTGTGAGGACTAGAGGAGAAACTGTTTGTGAAGATGAAGTGGAGACAGTGTGAGAGGTAGGATCTGAACTATTCACGGACAGAACCATGAAGGTGTGGTGAGCGGAGAGGTGGTGGAAGAGGATAGAGCAATCAACGGTTTCAAAGGTAGCAAAGAACAAAAGGAGGCAGAGGGAGCCCTGGTTGCAGATGGACAAAATGTCATTTTTCACTTTCAGCAAAGCTGTTTCTGTGCTGTGGGCAACATAGAAACCTGATTAGAGGGGTTTGTGAAGGGAGCGGTGGGAGAAGAGAGAGCAAAACTGGGTAGCACCAACCCGATCCAGGACATTAGAACAGAAAAGGAGGTTGGAGATGGAATAGTAATTTTAAATCAGGGAGGGTTTTTTTCAGGATAGGAGTGACAATGGATGTTTTGAAAGGGGTGAGAGTGGTGCGAGTGGACAGGAAGAGGTTTATTATGTCAGTGAATAGAGTGGGAGGGGAGGGAAGGGACAAGGAGGTGTAGCTGGGAGGTAAGGAGAGCGATAGGGATGGTGGTCAGTTTCATGTGGTTATAGTGGAGGTGAAACGGGAGGGGAAAACAGGTTTGAAAGTAGAGAGAGGTATGGGCAGGGGCTGGAGTTTGAGGGTATGGGGAGGGGATAGTGATCAGAAGGGCAGAGACAACTGAGCAAATCCTTCAATTTTGGTTTGACGAAGTCCAGCATCTGCTTGCAGTTGCCGTTAGTGGAAAGGATGGGAGTGGCGTGAGAAGGTGGGCAGAGGAGCTGGTTGGTGAAGGAGAAGAGGATTTTCGGCTTGTCCTTGGCCTCCAAGGTTGTCTTGGAGTAGAGGGATGACTTAGCGGAGGTGAGGGTGGAGCCGTCAGTTTTGATGAGGTCCAGACAGATCTGGGGTTGGACTGTTAAGTTAGATTTGACCGAGGTACATTTAGTGGTATGCACCTATGCCTTAAGGGAGTGGGGGTGGCTGGTGTAATTTTGCTGCTGTTGTTCTTGTGTACCAGAGTGACCTCTCAGGTGTTGGAGGCGGTTTGGGAAATGGGGGGATCAACAGCATCGAGAGTGGTGGAGAGGGTATTTGTGGAGGAGAGTGACAGAGGAGGATATGTCATTGTGGGAGGAAGCCCAGAGGGGGACGAGTTCAGATGACTCCAAGACAGCGGAGAGGGGCACGGGTGGAGATTTTGTTTTTCCAGGGTGGCAGGAGATGGACATCGGTTGAGTGGTGGTCGGGAGCGTGACTGAGGAGTTAAAGGAGATGAAGTAATGGTCTAAGATGACTTTGTTGGTGATATCCGAGATGCTGAGGCCCTGGTGGCCATGGACACGGGTGACAGAGTGGATGTGGAGGGAAATGTTGGGAGAGCACAGGAGAGAGGCGTTAATGGATATAGAGAAAGAGGGAGTGAAGTGCAGGTTGAAGTCACCTCAGATGAAGAGGTGTTTGGAGTTGAAGCAGAGGGATGAGAGGAAAGTCGGGGAGGGTTTTGGAGGACGACAGACACGGAGGATTTTGTGGGAATGGTTAGCTTCAATATACAGAATGCTCGCTCTGTAAAAAGGAGTCCTGTAGCTCAGTGGTTAGAGCACTCGTTTTGCAAGCGAGAGACCTGAGTTCAATTCCAGGCAGAGGGCGAAACCTTGGGCAAGTTTCCTTACTCCACACAGAGCCTAATAATAATCCCTCCAAAACCCAAAACAATAATAAATTGGTCATTTTCAATCTACGACTGCTTGTGGAACATTGCTGTGTGCAATTGGCTGCCGCGTTCGCCCACAAATATACAGCCAATTCACTTTTCAGTGTGTTCTGTGAACTGCTTTGGGATGTCCTCCCCACGTGAAAAGCGCTATATCAAATGCAAGGATTATTATTTTTATTATTATTATTATCTAAAACTGTGGTACCAGAAAAAAATCTTCTACACCCGGGTGATTATTACCTGTAATAATTCTGAAGAGAGTCACCATGTTTGGGGGTCGAGGGATCTTCAGCCGACATCTTCTCACATTTGATAACTTTGCGGTTCTCTGTGCGCAAATTGGCTGCCGCACTCGCCTACAAGACACACAGTTAACACACGTTACAATGCATTCTTTAAAGAGCTACAAAAAGTGAGCAGAGGAGAGGATGGTGGTACTGAACAAAGATACTGTTACAGCCCGGGGAAGGAATGATGTGCTAAAAGGTTCCATTACAGAATTTATTTGGTTAGAGTTAAGGAGCAGAAGAGGAGCTGTTATGGGTGTATATTACGCCAACAACAACAACAAGATTACATTTGTATAGCGCCTTGCACATCGGGAGCGGGTCCCAAGGTGGAGGACACTGTACAGCATTTCAGACCCGAGCTGGGGTCACAGAGGGAGAAGGGAGGGAAGGGGATAGGCGGTGACCGATGGCATGGTTGAAGAGGAGGGTTTTGAGGCGGGACTTGAAGGAGGCTAAGGAGGGGGCAACTCGGAGTGATTGGGTATAAAATGCCAGAGATTGGGGGCAGAGTGGCTGCAGGCTCTCCTGCCAATGGTGGGGCAGCTAGATCGGGGGACATGGAGAAGGCTGGAGCCGGCTGAGTGGAGGGAGCGGGTGGGTTGGTAGTGTGTTAGGAGATCACGGAGATAGGGTGGGGCGAGGCCATGGAAGGCTTTGTAGGAGGGACCAGGATCTTAAACTGGATCCTCTGTAAGGATAGGGAACCAATGGAGCCGGGCAAGAATGGGAGAGATGAGATACTACAGAGGGAAGGAAATAGAGGAACAAATCTGCAAGCATATTTCAAAAAGTTGTAAAAACATTAGACTAGTGATAATGGGGGATTTCAATTATCTTAATAATAGACTGAGAAGGAAAGAGTGTAAAGGGCACAGAGGGGGAAGAATTCCTGAAATTGGTGTAGGCAAACTTTCTGGATCAATATGTTTCCAGCTGAACAAGGAAGGAAGCAGTGCAGTATCTCGTTCAAATGAAGAGGGGCATGTGGAGCAGGTTTCAGTGGGAGAGCATCTGGATAATAGTGAACACAAGACTATTAGTGTTAAGAGTATTTATGAAAAGGGAGAAGGTACAATCAAATGTGAAGATACTCAACTGGAAGAGGCTAATTTCAGTGAGTTGATAAGGGATGTGGCCCAGGTGGATTGGAAACGAAGATTGATGGGTAAAACGGTGGCCTGAGGGGTGGGGCAGTGGTGGAGCCAGGCAATGTTGGAGAGGTGGGGAAGGCAAAGCTGTCATGGCATAGATGTGGGGAATGTTAGAAAAGGTTGATTTTAATATAGTTTGTAAGAAGAGCAATAGAAGAACTAATAGTGAATTTATATACATATACATGTATATCAATACCCATAAATACATTGCGGTAGGAAACAGGGGAGAAATAAACTGTTTTACTAACATTTTAGGAATTGGCAGAATAAGCCATCCTGGTTTTGAAAGGCCAACAGTCAGTCAGTTATCATGGTGAGAGAAGGCACAGAACAGGCTTCAAGAAGGGCCCAACAAATCTACATTCCAGTAAAGTTGCTCAGTATTCTGCGAACACATGCCGATCACGTTAAATGTTTCTACCAGACAGAGACAGGCTCCGGCCTTGGAAGGGAGAAGCACGATGTCCTGTGTTGAAGAATAATGAGAAAGCTGCTTTGTCTCAAAAGGGTCTGCTTATCTAGAAGATATGGGTACAAGGATGTGCGAGGGTCGAATACGTTGGGTACTCGCTAAGATGCTTGATCGGAGAAGAAGGGGAGACGATACCCAGGTGGAAAAAGTGTAACTATCCTGACTTTAGGTAAGTAAGACAACAGATCCAGCCAGACAAAGGGGGCAGCCGAACCACCAGAGAGAAGGTGTGCTGAAACCATCGCAACTGACTGACTGCTCCAAAACTGGTAGTATAAGTTCTGTTATTTGCAGTGGCAGTATTATTTTACTAGTTTCGCATGTGTTACTTTGATTAATAAATCTCTAATACACCTTAATTGGATTGTCTCTGAACCTCGGGATCGTATTTGAACCTCGGGATCGGAAATCCCAACAGGAAGAAAGGATAGTTGAGGGTCAAACAAGGTTCCAGACTGGCTTAGCAAGGTGGAGTGTGCAACCATGGATGGTGATGCTGTCAGTGCCTGAGGTGTGGAGGTGCTGATGGAATCCAATCTTGGTCTTGTTGAAGTTCAACTGTAGAAAGTTAGCTCTCATCCAGGACTTGATGTCTGACAGACAGTCTGTCAGGACAGCAGTGGTCCTGGAGTCACGGGTGGAGGCAGAGAGGTAGAGTTGGATGTCATTCGCATACATGTGGAAGTTGACCCCATGTCTGCGGATGATGTCACTAAGAGGGAGCATATAGATATTGAAGAGGTGAGGACCAAGGACAGAGCCCTGAGGAACACCACATGAGACGGTGCGGGGGCTCGAGGAGAAAATGTTTGCAGAGATTTTGTGGAGGCAGTGTGAGAGGTACGATCCGAGCCATTCAAGGACTGAACGACGAAGGTTGAGGTGAGAGGAGAGGCGGTGGATGAGGATAGAGTGGTCAACGGTATTGAAGGCAGCAGGAAGGTCAAGGAGGATGAGGACTTAGAGGGAGCCCGGGTTGCAGATGGACAGAATGTTAACATAAAGTATAATAGTCTAATCTAAAGTATAATAATCTAAAGTAAATAAACTAATCTAAAGTATAATAATCTATATTAAAATATAATTATCTAATAAGAAGTATACTAATCTAACGTGAAGTATAATAATTAATATAAAGTATAATAATATAAAGTATAATACTGAAATTTACTTGCCATATTGGATGCTTTGGTTGCTGGTGTAGCTGCAACAAGTAAATCCCTGCACTGTTTCACACTCGCAGCCCTGCACTATGTCAGCTTGTTATTAATAGGTGTAAAGCCACGTGAAAATATTCCCCACATGTTTTGTTTTCCTAATCCCATCCCATTAAACAGAGGAGACTCGGGCAATGCTTTCAAATTCAGTAACAAGGCCACACACACACACACTTTCCTGCTTCTCACAGTGGCTTCAGACGTTCAGTGTAAAAATAATCCATTTCGAGGGTTAATGAAATCTGCTCCCAGACGGTGGATTCAAACATGACCATCGTACTGTCAGACAATCCAATTGAAAGGAGAGTGACAATCGATGTCTGGGTCCAGATCGTGTGATAAAATAAAATGTGACCACATGAAGGCTGGAAACGCAGTTAAATGCAGAGGTTGTGAATGTAAACACACATTTACTTGATCGGGAGACATACAGCGCGTTTAACCCACACAGATCAGCCTCACTCTCAGCCTCTCTTACCGTCTTCCCCTCAGCACTTACAGTAGTAAAAGGCAGAAATGTGTAATTGTAACTTTATATATTGTCGGGTAAATGGGAAGCGACATCGTGCAATACACTGATTGGCCCAAACATAACACATTGCAACTCGACAAGTGTTGATTTGACTCAACAGTTTGATTTCAGTTTCACAGTTTGATTCTGGGTAACATCAGCTTCCTGATAGGGAAGTGGCTTTGATTTTAAGATAAATGTAACTACATATTCCATCTACCAATAATTGTTTTTAATAAAGGCTGACACAAGCTTCATAACAATAATAATCCTTGTATTTATCATTATCACCTAATCATTATAGTGCCTCTTCGAGGCATCTCAAAGCTTTCCACAGAATATGTGGAGTCCTGTAGCTCAGTGGTCAGACCACTCACCTCACAAGAGAGTGACCTGGATTTGATTCCCATCAGGGCGAAATGTTGGCCACGTTCCCTTACTCCACACAGAAGCCTGTTTACGCAGCAGCAAACAGGAACTCGGTTGTTCGTCAGTTGGCGGATCACTTTTCCAAGGGTAATAATTCCTTCNAAAAAAAAAAATTGGTCCCTCAATCCATGATTGCTTGCAGGACAATGCTGTGCAAGGTTAGCTGCCACGTTTCGCCCACAAAATATATAGTCAATTCACTTTACACACACAATGACGCACAATTATACTCCAATTAGCCTCCATCGCTCCTGTCTCCTCCCCAACCTTTTGGCTAAGATCAAGTTTAGTATCTATAATGACACTAATAATCCTTGCATTTGATATAGCACTCAAAACGTTTATGTGGAGTTTATGTGGCAAACGAAAAGTTGGCCAAGTTCCCTTACTCCACACACAAGCCTGTTTACCCTGCACTAAACACAAATCCAGTTGTTAGTCATTTGGTGGATCGCTTTTCCAATGGGTAATAATTCCTTCAAAAAAATAAATAATAATAAATTGATCAGTTCAATCCACGACTGTGTGGGACTCTGCTTTGCACAATTGGCTGCCGCGTTTCACCCACAAAATACACAGTCAATTCACTTTACAATATATTATGTGAAGCCCCCGCATTCGTAATAGTTTTCTCAACAAATATTTTTCCTTTTGATTCCTGCACAGTGGCGTGTGGTGGAACCCGCACTTCCATTCCTGTCCCCCTCCTCTTCCTCAATACATGGCCCCTCTCGGTGATGTCATCCGCAGAAACGGGATTAACTTCCACGTGTTTGCAGATAACACACAAATCTACTTCTCCTCAACCAGCTGCGATTCCAAGTCCGCTGCTGTCCTGTCAGCTTGTCTGTCAGACATCAAGGCCTGGATGAGCGCAAATTTCCTGCAGCTGAAAGACAAGATGGAAGCCATACTCCTTGGTTCCCGTCAACTTCTCCTCTCCTGAACCTCAGACCTTCTCAACCTCCGTGTCATTTCCCTAAACCTTACCAAACCTGTATGTAACCGAGGCATCAGGTTCGACCCCCAGATCATAGAATAATAGAATCATAGAATGTTACGGCACAGAAGAAGGCCATTCGGCCCATCGAGTCTGTGCGGCTCTTTGACAGAGCAACTGACTTTTATTAACCCCACTCACCAGCTTTCTCCCCATAACTCTGCAAACCCGTCTTCTCCAGATACCTGTCCAGTTCTCTCTTAAAAGCTGTTATCCAATCGGACTTCACTGCCCTTTCGGGCAGATCATTCCAAATTCCAATAACTCGTTGAGTGAAAACATTCCTTCTAACCTCCCCTCTGCTTCTTTTGGTAGATATCTTAAGATTGTGACCACGAGTCACAGACACACCTACCAGCGGAAACAGCTTTTCCCTATCTCGCCTGTCGAAACCTTTCATGATCTTGAAGACCTCTATCAGGTCCCCGCGTAACCTTCTCTGCTCTAATGGGAAAAGTCCTAACTTCTCCACTGTCCTCATAGCTAAGGTTCCCCATTCCTGGTATCATTCGCGTGAATCTCCTCTGCACCCTTTCCAGTGCCTTAATATCCTTCCTGAGGTAAGGTGCCCAGAACTGGACGCAATACTCCAGCTGAAGTCTAACCAGTGTTTTGTACAGATTAAGCATAACTTCCCTACTCTTATTCTCTATGCCCCTACTAATGAAGCTCAGTACACCAAATGCCCTTTTTACTGCCATATCTACCTGCTCTGCCACCTTCAATGAATCGCTTACTTGAACGCCCAGATCTCTCTGTACGTTCACCCCCCTTAAGATTGAACTTCCAAGCCTATATTGCCTCCTATCAGTTTTCCTACCTAAATGTCCTACCATTTCCACGTCTGGCCCCTAATCTCGCTGGCACCCCACCTGCTCCACACACAAACTACAACCAATCCGGAACTCCATTGACAGTATTCTCACCCACACTAAACTCCGGGTCCCCATCACACCAGTCCTCGCCAGGCTCCACTGGCTCCCTATCACATTCATATTCCAGAAAAAGTGAACCACCAATCGAATAACAATTGTGTTCCTATTTGCTGCTAGGAAAACAGAGCATGACTGTGGAGTGAGGAAAGTTGCCCAATGTTTTGCGCTGCCCAGGAAGTGAACCCTGGTCCTTTCAATTGCGAGGCGAATGCTCTAAGCACTGAGCTGCAGGTCAATGCAGACTCACTGACCAAGTGCTCTGGGACGCTATCCTGCATGAGGGATGCTGTACAGCAAGTTGTTGTTGACGTTGTTGTTGTTGATGACAAAGCCAGACACACACATGCTTTCCCTGGTTCTCACACTGGCTGACCTCGACCGGTCCAGCAAATCTACTTTTAACCCCTGCCAAGCTAGTCATGAAATCAAACAAAGCTTATTAGAGGATTACGGGGAGGCTATATTCTAATGTATATAAAGATTAATCAAAAGCCTTATAAAACATTAAACATCACAAATATAATCTTACAATCCCCTGTCACCTCTGAACCTCTCCCACCTGCTTACCCCCTAACCCATAACCCGCTGCCTCCGCTCGACTGACTCCGGCCTCTGCATGTTCTTCGTGCCCTCTATTTCACCATCGGTGGCCGCGCTTTCAGCCACTAGTATTTTGTGCAGTTGTTGTGGTGAATTACACAGAACTGGACGTCTTCCCCGACACAGAGATTGGTGACAGGACTTGAGATCACCCACACAACCAGTGTGACACAGTACAGGACAACCAGTGTGATACAGAGCAGGAGTTGGTTCCTGAGCCAGGCAGGTCCGCAGGGTTCCAGGTCATTGCTGCTGACAGCCCAGCCCAGCCCAGCCCAGCCTGGCTCATTGGCAGGACCTTGCAGGGCAGACCAATCACTGGGGACAGGGAGTCCTCTGAATGTTTACACATGTTATGTGAAGGGCCCAGTGTACTCGTGGCTTCTGTGTAGATTGTTCTCTGTGAGTTCTGCTGAGAACTCTATATGAGAATTAACACAACGACAGGTCATCCCAATGCCTTATAGCGCAACAATGGGACACTTCAGTCAGTGCCCTTCGCACTCTCAGACAGATGACTTCTTATTAACATGTTTGTGTCTCTCTCTCCCTCCTTGAATTTAACAGAGACTCGAGACGCACTTTTTAGAGAAGACAACGGTATTTTATTGGTCCTAACAATCGACCCTATGGCTCACTTACACACCCGATAATAAAATAGACGGTCACAACTTGAACAAAAAATAAAACCCTGACAGCAGAACTGTGTCACCGGCAGCTTTATCTAACGTTAGTAAACAAAGAAAAACAATCTTGACTTGGAGGCAACCCTCCCTTGATGACACTAACGCCAAGAGCGACTTTGAGTCTAATGAGCCGCCTCCTATTTTAACTCCTTCCCATCCTATTTTAACGCCTTCCCATCCAATATGTCACTTGGGTCCCGCTCCAGGCCCCACACAACCTCTTTTCCTGCCTTTTTGTTGCAACACTCACCCAGGTCCCTGACTTTGCGTCTCCAAGGCTGTCCCGCTATAAAATTATATTGTGGTGCCCGAATCATAATTACTCTTAAAGCAAAGCGGCTTATTTCAACCCAAACTTTCTATATATAGACTATCTACAGCCAATATTGTTAGAACGAGGTAGAGCATTAATAAACACAAGGTATCCATGACACATACCACTCAGTTCCTGTTAACCTTACAAGTTAATTGTCCGAGCTGGACCGAGCTTGCCAGACAGTGATATCAATGGCAAGCTGTATGGTTTGCTGGTTAGACTCCAGCAGTTACCCCAACACATACTCATGGGTCCCCAAGCCTTGGCTCTTCCCATCCTGTGCCTAATACTTTTTCCGCAATTAGGTAAACAGGATTTGTTCCTCCATAGGAAGAGAGCGCATTCCAACAATCTATCTGTGGGATTTCCATGTGTAGGTGGGTTGGGATGCATGGAAACTCAACTTGATTTGGATATTCTTAAACATGGTGATGGGTTTCCACATGTGTCACACACAGGGCTGACTATATCAATTTGTCAGCTAAACGTGGCCCAATAATGTATTGAGGGCGGAGCTTGTTATATACATAGACAATATGTAAAGTTACAACTGCCATTTCTATCTTTTATTGCAGAAAGCGGTGAGTGAAAATGTAAGAGAGGAGTTGACTGAGACTAATCCACTATGTGTTTAAATGTGCTGTTTGTGGCTTTCTCACGGTTTCCTGATACAGTAAATGTTCTCTTTTACATTCACAGCCTCTGCACTTAGCCTTGGTTTCCATTCGCTGTGTGATCACTGGTTGTATTTAATTTGTTACTCATGATATGATTGTCTGACCTTAAAAATTGAAATCCCCTGCGTGGGGAGAGATGCAAATCCCCTTCCTTTAAGAATGCTGTTTGTGGGTTTGTCACAGTCTCCTGATGCTGTTACACTCACAGCCTCTGCATTTGGTTTGTGTGATACTTGTTACAGTTTACTTTGTCAATCAATCCTTGTGTTTCCCTTTGTGATTGCTTTGGATGACCATATTCATTTTAATACCTTTTATCTGTTTATGTAATTAAACAATGAATCACTA